TTTGATGGAACAGTGATCTGTTTCAGTATATGGTAGCTTCACATGTAACCTTGTACCTTGTTGTTTTCGTTGTGTGGTTTTTCAAGGTGAGGAAACTTAGAGGGGCAGCAAGAGAAGAAAGCTGATACACTGCTGACTGTAGCATCCTCCAGCTGAAATGTTATCAGATTCCATCTGATAATTTGGAATGGGCCATATAAGCCCTTGAACAAATTGGAAAGAAAACTCTGTGAGGCCCTGGGGGCCTTGGTGATCTTTTATGGGGTTGCCTAGCAACTCAAAATGATGTCCAAGGTCTTGTGATCTAATCTCATGACATCTCAGTTGCCATTCTGATTTTTTTTAAAAACAAACAAACAAACAAACAAACTTGTGATGTTCCCATTGCCTGGGAGGTTATCCCCCCCCTTCTGAATTTTTGATTATTATTATTTTTTTGTAAACCTGGAGGTTTCCCTGTGTTTGCAAAATTCTACTCTAGATTTTTTTTTTAATCTGCATGGTGGGGCAATACTTGGAAATATGGTATCCCTACTCAAAATTTATACAGTGTATGAAATCTCTGCTCTTTTTAGGCTGAGCATCACTTTGGAATATTTGATTACCTTTTGGGAACTGCTACTTGGTTTCAGTAACTCTCAGTATTGATTTAACTTGTACCAAGACCTGAATTGAAGATGATATGTGACTCTGTAATCATGCTTACTCAACTGAATAAAGTTTTCTCTTGGTGAAAAAAAAATTAAGTTGTGACTTTTTTTTTAATTTCAAAGAACATGTGCCAGAAGACTGTCACTGATACTTCTGTGCTCTTGGGGAAGCAGTGATTAAACCTATCATAGCAGAAAGCAGAGGTGGCAGTATTCTTCCCTTTAATTTCTTAAATGATTCTGATAACCCGGAGGGCATGCTGAGTAAACAAAGGCTTCTGTTGCTATCTTGATGACTCATCTATGCTCCAAGGATGAAATAAGAAACTAGCTTGCTCCACAGGATAGAGCATTACATTTTTTTTATTTAAAAAAACAGTCCAATTGTATGTTCTTGAATAGAAGTTTAAAAAATTACATATTTCTGCAAAGAAGAAAAGAACACAAAATCCTTAAAGTATTATAGACCTGATAAATGTTCTGATGTAGTCAAAAGAATCCTTGTTTACACCCATTTTTCATACTATCCAAGCTCTATAAGAGGCAAGAAAACAGGAAGTGCTTACACAAAAATGTTTCTTTACATATTACACTAGTAGAATCAGGGACTACAATAGCAAAAGAAACCAGAACTGAATGAAAGAAAATCATATGGGAGATTTGTTTCATTTTCATATTGATTGTTATAATTATGAACCCCCCATTTTCATAATTAGTATAACTACAAATGAAAGTAATACACATCTAATGCCGAGAAAGCAAACAAAAGCCATATATTAGAGGACTCTCCAGATCAGTCCCAGAAATGACTTTCCACCCAGATATGTAACTGTGATTTGTCTTACCTGCAACAATTACATCAATGTAACATGTAAATGTGGCCACTAGGATATCATGAGATACTTTGCCAAATGCTTTGCTGAAATCAAGACACACTGTGACCACAACATTCCGATTTTCTACCAAACAAGTTATTTTATCAAAAAGTAAGCAAGTTTAGTCTAGCATGACTTGGTTCTTGATAAAAAAACACTCTGGTTCACATGAACACATGAAGCTGCTTATACTGATCATGGCATTCGTCTATCAAGGTCACTATTGTCTATTCAGTCTGGCAGTGGCTCTCCAGGTTCTCCGGCAGAGAAGTCTTTCAAACCACATACTACCTGTTCCTTTAAAACTGGAGAGGCCAGGAATTGAACCTGGGACCTTCTGTTTGCCAAACAGATGCTCTGTCACTGAGCCCTGAACCCTCCCTAGTAAGAAATGCTTTCTCTTCCAGAAGTTCATAGAACAGCTATTTAACAATCTATTGTCGAATTTTCTTAGATATCAAACTCCAGATGACAAGTTTGTAGTTTTCCATGTCATTTATGTGACAACACCCAGTTTCCAGTCTCAGAAACTAGTGTTGCCAGAGGCACTGTCTTTACTCTTGGGTAGCCCCAATAGCAGGGGCACCCCATTTCTAACCTGCCCCAGAGACCCACAAAACTAAGGCCAAGGAAGGCACTCCTGGGTCTGAAACACAGCTAGCCACAACTTTGAAAAGGGGCTCTCCATTTTCAGGATTCATAAGGTGACCTCAGAGCAAGTCTCCAGTCTTCCCCTTCCATCCAGCAGAGATATGCTTATGGAATAACAATGAGTTCCACCAGGTGAAGCATCTACATTTCTAAAGTCTATTCAGAGGCCACCTGGCAAATAATCCTGTCTCCAGTAATTCTTTGTCTGAATACCTGTCATTCCTGCTCTGTCCCTCAGGATACCGGGATAAACCAATCAATCATTCAAATGTTTAGCAATCCTTCCTGAGGCTAAACAGGGACTCATCTCCCACCTTTTGTCTATACTTGGGAACCTTTTCAAACTACCCTGGCAAGACCATTAGTGGTCAGAAAATCCATTCAACTAGCCCCAGTACAGTCATCCAACACCTAGCTAAATCCAGTCAAGATACTGTCAGTCTCAGCATAGTCTGACTGCCTCTCTGGAACTTCAGTGGTCACATCCAGGCCTGGCCCATCCTGATGCCACACACCCCTGGGACTCATCACTGGCCCAAGTAATCTATTGTTCTCACCTGAGACCAGCCCCCAAGATCTTCCATTGGTCTGCATTGTTTTCCTATGAACACATGGTGTTAGACTGTGTGCTTTTGCCCTGATGCCAACTGGCAGTCCACCCTTAAACCCTTTAGGTTTAGGCCATAATCCTTTCATGGACCTCTGCACATCTGGACAGGTAGTATCACCCCAAACCCTTCTATCAGCTATCAATCACCTCTGGTTCCTTAGTTCTATATTGTGTGTGTGAATGTTTAATTATTGTTTGTGTGCTTGAGAATATTTAGTAAAGAAATCATTATTTTAGCCACCCAGACTCTGTGTCTATTCCTGGGTTCTTGGGAATTCTAACTCTGGTATACACAGGTCTGATCCCATAGTTATGCCTATTGCACATTAATATCATAATTTCCCAACCTTTTATTAAGGAAATAGAGCAATTTGGCTAACACTACGGACTTCATACCCTATACACTTCTTTTGTCCCCCCCCCCAATACATTTTTATAATTGAGGCTTTTGGAACCTCTTAGTCTTCCAGTCCTCAGTGAGGACAATGCTTGGACTCAGGGTGCCACTCAGCATTCATTGACCTGTTCTGAGGAGAATGACTTGTTTCTTTGTTTTCCTTTTTTTTTGCCCTCTCAGTATTACAATAACAAAATAACTGGAGAGCTGGGGCCTTAGAATGCAAACAGTTATAAAGCAGTTTCCTTTTTCAACTAATTCAGACTTATAATATGCAACAGAAAGGTTTTTACTTTTTAAACTGTTTTTGACAGTAACAGCACCCAAGGCCTATTTTCAAAATACCTGAAGTCTCCAATAGACTCCCTGCCTAACCAGCTGACCTCCTAGCCATCCTTACACCAAAATCTGACAATCCCAAATTTTGTCAGTTGGCCACTGTCAAACCCCTCTTTTTTCCCAGTGTTCCAGTCCACTGTTACCATATGATTGGCAGAAGCTCTTGGAGGACAGAACTTAAGACCATATATCATAACCTCCAACCCCCTTTTTTCTGAAGACCTGAACAACATTTTCCCATTGCTAATCTTCTGGCTCATCATCTGTTCTCTAAGGATTCTAAATGATTAAAATCACAGGCTCCAAAATAAAATCTGTAAAGTCACCAGTAACTTGCCTTATAATTCATCTGCCTCTGGAGACTTGAACTCGTTTAAAATAGCAAAATCTTTTCAATCTCGTTATGTACTCTGGCCTGCAAGTAGCTCCTCTCATTGTATGTTCTGCTTTTCCTAGGTTGGAGACAGTTCCTCTCATGGGAGCAGAACAAGGCAAAATAGTAATTACAGTAGTTCTCCTTTGTCTTTGTCATCTGTTAAAATTTCACAAGGGCAAGCCTACCCCTTCCTTTTTTCTTTTAGCTTAAAACATAGCCTAAGAAGTCCTTATTATTGTTTTTAGCATCCCTTCCAAGGCCAGCTTTAGCCTTCTCGACACCATCCTTACAGCTTTTGACTGCTCTTTTCATCCTTAGATATATCTTCCATCTTCTATACATTTCTCACTTTTAAGTCAGCTCAGAGAATGCCTTATGCAGCCACACATTGACTTCCTTAGCAATTTCTCATTGCCCTTGTGCTTTAATATTTAACTTATCAGAATCTCCCACTCCCTTGAATTCATTTCTCCTTCAGTGTTTCAGTGAAGCCTTGGTATTTTATCATTTTTTTCTTCAAGTCCTTTGAAATCAGCTTTCTAATATGAAGGGCGTGCATCTAGCCATATTCAGTTCTCACATTACTTAATATCACAGATTCCAGGATGGCATTAGAGTGGTGATTCTAGGCTTCATTAAAATTTTCAGATGTATCAAACAGCTGTTGTATTTAGCAATGAGAAAAGGCCCTTTATCTCTTGTCATAGCTATTTGAAAACTAATTACATTAGCAATATAGCTGTAAGGAGGGAGAATGTTAATTTGGCACAGTTTTGTACCAACTGACTAGGTGCTTGGGAACATCAGATCAGCTATTAGAAGAAATTGACTTAGAAACAGTCCACATTATGTGATAGCAAGAGCTCCCAGTTTACATAGATCCTTCTGAAAGCCTTATCCAGTTATATGGAGCTTGCTGTTAGTCATGAAACAAGGGAAAGAAATGGATGAGAAAATAGCATTACAATATATATTCATTATATTGTTAAAATAATTTGATTCGTAATCCTATACACCATAGCATACCTTTTAATCCCCATGAACATCCTGGTACTTCAAGTGTAACAGTCAATATAGACTTTCACTCTATCAGTCCACTCACCTGAACTGCAAAACCTCACATCTCTTATACTCATTTTGAACTTCACTTGATTGAAAGATGTCATCTACCTATGTAAAAATATATGAGAGAGAGTCTTTTTTATGGAATTAATAACTGTCAGTGCCTATCTGCAAATCTATGTACTAAGTGTTTTTTCAGAGAGCTTTCAGATGAACTAAAAGGAATCATTTAACTCTGGCTTTCCTCATCAAAACCAAAGCACTAATGTACATTGGAGTCTAATAAACTGATAACTGTGTAAAATACACTGCTTCAGTTCCAGCTTTTGTCATAGTTAGGAAGTAACTCCTCACCATCACCCAAGCATGCCATATATTCAGATACATGAATTATTCTTTAGATTGTTTCAGACATGATTTTTAAAACCCGGGGATAATCTCAATATACAAAAAAGTGTAAACACATGTACAACACTATGACTGAAAGTAGCACAAATATTAAATGGTAGTTTGTGGTGTGAGTCACAGGAAAGATTCCCACCCTTGCAACTGAGAACCATTGAAAGGGGACAAGAGCACAACCCCCCACCTAGAAGACGAAGAAGAGAGAAGAGATTGGATTTATACCCCGCCCTTCACTTGGAGTCTCAGAGTGCCTTACAAATTCCTTTCCCTTCCCCTCCCCACAACAGACACCCTATGAAGTGGGTGGGGCTGAGAGAACTCTGACACAAACTGTTCTTTCAGGTACAGCTGTGCCAGAGCTTGTGACTGACCCAAGGTCACATCAGCAGGTGCAAGTGGAGGAGTGGGGAATCAAACCCGGTTCTCCCAGATTAGAGTCCGCACACTTAACCACTACACCAAACTGGCTCTCAGGGTGTCAGGAAGCAGCATGGATCTCCTGGGACCACATGAGAAGCATCATGCAGGCTCAAGACCACTGAGTAGTTAATGGAACTTGTTGTCAGCAACAAATGTTATCACCCTGTTCTCTTGCAGTAGTTCCACTACTACTGACTACTTGCTGTCTTCATGATGTCGTTAAAAAAACCTGGAAAAAAATCTTGTGCTCATACATATGATCACCTCAGGATTGCCCTTTTCAGATGTTTTATCAGTTTAATCAGTGCATTCTTTGACATAGTTAATACATAGGGGGATATACAGATTAAGAACATAAAAATATAAGAAAGCTTTGCTTGGTAAGACTAATGATACATTGAGTCCAGCTTCCTGATTCTTCAATGATGCCTCTAGGAATCCAATAACTTGGGCATTAAGGTTTATGAACAAGTAAGAACTGAAAAGACAAACACAATGCTATCTATCTATGTATACACATTGGAAATAAAAACCAGCAATGAAGGGTTTGTAATTTACTGCTTCTGCTTTACAAACTCAATCATATAATTTGAAACACTAATATCTGGGAACAAATTTGGAGGAAATTTTTTTTTGGAAGTTTACATGTGTAGTCTAGATTTGTTCCACATTTTCCCCAGGTGAGTTAACATATAGTTGTTCTGGGATAAGAGGAAGTAGGTTACCTGGGGGAAATCATGTGGGAATCAAAGATGAAATTGATCACAACATTCTCATTTGGGAACATCTACAAAAATGTTGTACTGCTGTTGTAGTGGTATGATGTTGTGGAGAGAAGCCTGTTTTTTACTCTACCTGGTAATGGCATCCTCTACCTATTAAGAGATGGAGTGGATTTAGGTGCCTTGTACATGGTGGCCAATCAGTATTGGCCAAAGAGTCGCTATGTAAGGCATCCCCACCTTTTACAGTGTCTGATTGTCCTCCAGCCTTTGTGAAAACTTTGTACCAAGCAGGAGTTTTTGGAAGGCCTGTTAAATTGGTCTGTATTGTACCTTTTCTTATTCGCTTTGCACTGCCTTGACTAGAAGTGGTTAATACTAAAAAGGCATGGCTTTAGGGATCAAAGAGGTTCTTACTGGCTTTGAGAGGAATAATGTGTGCTGCTGATACATACAGGCACAAAAAGTTGCTGCGTGCCTGAGGCATTTAAGGATGAAAGGAAGTTGCTCAGTTCAGGCACCTATCAGCTGTATAGCCACGAGATTGGAGCCTGGAGACTCTCTTGGTGCTGGCAACATCAAATGAACACAAAATGTTATATGACATGGAGGGAGAGGGAGGTCACTTGTCACCTTTGAAACAACTTAGTATTCAGACTTAAAATAGTGAGGCCCAACAGCAATGCTGTACCAGGATTCAAATCAGATGGGTTATTTAAAATGTAGGCAACCTATTGTCAGCCAAACTAAAATGGTAGGTTGCATTGAATTATAGCAGACTTTTTGACAATTTATGCCATACCTTCATTCCAGTGAGTGTGGGGGGGGGATAAAACCTGAACAGCAACAATTACATATCAGGTACCCACATCAACTTCAACCCTCAGCCATAATACAAGGATATAAAAATAAGGTAGTTTCTTAAAGGCAATTTCTTTTGCAGTGTTCCAGAATTTTTGGTGCTGACCTGTGTGTGTGTGTGCATGAGAGAGAGAGAGAGAGAGAGAGAGAGAGAGCTCCTGCTTTCTGTGCAACTCAGGGTTTTTGTTTTAAAAAGAAAATGCCACACAGTAACAGTTTCATATGTAGTTGTCAGCTGATTCTTACCATTTGCTGGATGTCAAAGGCTAGACTTTTAAAGGCCATTGATGATTTGTCTTGCAGAGCCAAGCTGAAAGATGCTCCTGACAGCATTGTGAATGTACCTTGGGCTGCATGACTGCTTCCACCTGATACAGATCAAAGGGAAAACATGCATTATAGCAAGGATTAATTTTCTCATTTTACATTTTGTTTAGAACTATTCTTCATGTTTTATTTACTAGCTTAAAATAGATTCACAGAGGAACAATGGAAGAAAATGTATTGTTTATGACCATATTGTTTATCACAATCTAAGAATTTTAAAGTACAGCTTACAGCACTCCTGGTGTTAGTGTTCAGCTTTGACCTGGGCATAAATGGGCACAAATGCTTCCTATGGTGTGGCTGAACCAATGTTTCCCTAGGAGTCTGTAAGCTTAACACAGAAGGGTCTGTTCATGCCCCTTACATGGCTTAGGCTGAGTCAGCTGAAATTGAATCAGACGAAGACAGAGGTCCTGTGCCTGAGCCGCAGCGATCTGAGGATAGGGATCCTGCTTCCGACCTTCGATGGGGTGTCGCTGGTGCCAGTGCCAGAGGTTAGGAGCCTGGGAGTGCTCCTGGATGCCTCTCTAACAATGGAGGCCCAGGTAGCAGCCACTGCCAAGTCAACCTTTTACCATCTTTGGCTGATTAGGCAGTTGGTTCCCTTCCTCGAATGCAGTGACTTGGTAACAGTGATCCATGCAACTGTCACCTCAAGACTGGATTACTGTGATGCCCTCTTCATGGGGCTGCCCTTGTCGCAAACCTGGAAGCTGCAGCTGGTGCAAAATGCCACGGCCAGGCTGTTGATGGGACTCCCTATAGCATACCAGATTCACTTCAAGGTGCTGGTTCTTACCTTTAAAGCCCTTTATGACCAGGGACCTACATACCTGAGGGACTGCCTTTCCCCATATGTACCCCAGAGAGTGCTGCGATCAGGGACCCAGAATTGGCTAATCCTCCCGAGCATTGGGGAGGACAAGCTGACATCTACTGGGGTCAGGGTTTTTTCGGTGGTGGCTCCACTCTGGTGGAATGAGCTTCCCAAGGAGATCAGGGTCCTGTGGGACCTTCTACAGTTCTGCGAGGCCTGTAAAATGGAGCTCTTCCACCAGGCCTTTGGAGCTGCCACCACCACCGCCGCTGCCTCCACTACCTCCATGACCACTGTTACCATCACCAACAATAATTGACATTCTATGGTAGAAGAGCCCTGATCCGCTGGACCCTTTAATCACTGCCCGAGCCAACCCCCCCAACCCCCCAAAAAACAACTGAGCAGACCAGTGGAGCTGACGATAAGAAGTGAGGAACTTATACTAGCACTTTATTATTATGTTGGGTTTTAATATTGTATTTATATTACCTGTTGCTGTGTTTTTATATGTATTGCTGGAATTTTATTCTGTTTCTGTAAGCTGCCCTGAGCTGGCCTTGGCCAGGAGGGCGGGATAAAAGTTAAATCAATTAATCAAAGGCATTTTAGTCTTACAGGGACCACAGGATTGGATGCTTTGCAGAAAGCCAGAACTGCAGAAACATTCCTGACACCATCAAGTCGGCTATTCAAAGGGTGGGGGCTGCTACTGAGAATGCACATGTATGGCTCCTGTAGAAGGCTCTGTTCAGATAAGCAGAGTTGTTGTAGTGGGACTAGGAGGAGAGGCAGTCATGCAGATATGAGGGTCCTAGGCCATGACAGGGCAAAGACCTTGAACTAGAGTATCTGCATTATGGGAATAAATATATATGCTCTGTCTAGTTCCTGATAATAATCGATCTGTGGCATTCTGCACTAACTGAAGTTTCCAAGTTGATTTTGAGGGAAGATCGATATAGAGTACATTACATGAATCTAGTCTCATGTTACTATAGCATGGATCCAGGTGGGCAAAGTGGCTGAGTCAAAGTAGGGGGCCATCTTTGGTGGCCATTTTTATAGTAAGTGGTTTCCCAGGAAACAAGGCAAAGCTAATATACCTTAGCAGCAATTAGTCACTAATTGTGATACTACTGTCTAAATAATGGAATGTTAGCTGGCTATGTTGTTGAAGTGTTCTCCAGTAAGCATATGCTCATTTCCCTGCTTTTACTTCATTGTACTTTTTAAAAAAATTATTTTCCTCTAGTTTTACTCTTTTGTTTGTTCATTGGACATTCTATCCCTTATGCATTCCCATTTGTTTAAATGAGAAACATTTTTGTCTGTAAAACTACCATCCTACAAGCTCAGATAAAATATATTCCACAGATTAGGAAAGGCACAAATAGGTATAGAAAAAGACCTGCATGGTTAACACACAAAGTAATGGAAGCTGTAAAATGTAAGAAGGATTCCTTTAAGCAATGGAAAGCTAGTCTCAGTGAGGTTGATAAAAGGGAACACAGACTATGGCAAAAAAAGAAGAAGCAAGTCTGTGATCAGACAGGCAAAAAGGGAATATGAGGAGCATATAGCAAAAAAACATAAAGACTAACAACAAAACTTTCTTCGAATACATTAAAGCAGGAAACCAGCCAGGGAGGCAGTGGAGCCCTTGGATGACCAAGAGGTAAAAGGAGTACTGAAGGATGATAGGGAAATGGCTGAGAAACTGAATGCATTTTTTGCCTCTGTCTTCACTGTGAAAGATGAGAAGTGCTTGCTCACTCCAGAACTGCTGATTTCGGGAGGGGTGTTGAAAGACCTGAGTCAGATTGAGCTGACAAGAGAGATGGTCCTACTACTGATAAACAATTTAAAAACTGATAAATCTCCAGGTCTGGATGGCACACATCCAAGAGTTCTG